ACATATTAAAGATTTTCTCCTTTATCTTTTACAGTCGCACAAGTGCATACGTGAAAGAACTCCTTGGTGATTTTCAAATGGGTGGAACTACCATAGATCAAATTTTCGTACTACGTCAACACCTCCCACCTCTTTGTAGATATTAAGAAGCTTGCAGAACTTAACATTACCGGATAAAATAGTAAGACTTCGAAATCTGATCGGCAAATAGTAAATACAATGAGATTTACCACAACCATTTAGAACACATGAGATCTTCCAATAAGAAGATGCTGTTGTATGCCTTCTTTTAACATAGCGCCGAAGAAAACTATGAGATATGTCGAGTTATACACAATGTTCAAACTGATGCAACCAGAGTGAACTTTAGCTGAACGTTAGTTACAAAAAAGAAGGAATATATTAGATACAAATCCTACAATTTTACAATTAAAATAAAATTGAAATAAATCGAGTACCTACCAGTGAACACTTACCCATTAACTGTTCTCATAATGCCATTATTTCTTAACTAAAGTAGTTTATTATGAAGATCAAACATTGTTAACACTAATATGTGTCTTAAAACTTAATCTCTACATAAATATTCATGTTACCTTCATCAAAATTAGGCACATAATATGTTGCATTTTTGTATCTACCTAGAATAGTCATGTAGTTATTTTTAAAACGAGAGTAATAAAGATAAGAATTTGACAAAGAATTAAAAGTTTTATCATATTTTATTGTTTTTCGAGATAAGTTTTGAACGATAGATTTTTAAATCTTCGGTGGAAAATAATTTTTCAACTTGCAATAATGTAGAAAAACTTATTTACAAAATTAAAAAGTCACAAAAAAGAGTAGGAAGGATCATAGTTGAGTATCTCGGAACTGATAAAAGGCAACATGCCAAAAAAGAGAAAGAAATGGCTGTGGATCAGGCAGTAAACAGCATAGTAGTATGAATGCGAGTCAAAATGTGTAAAAATTTATTTACTTGTAATTAAATTATTATGTAAATGATAAACATAATAAAGTTTAATATAATACCATTTTCACCAACATTGTCACAATGTCTTCCAAATTTAAATTTGTTTCCTGCGATTGTTCAGAGTCTATGAGTTACTTGTAGGAACTTAAGTAATATTTAAACTGATAGTAAATTATCTTTATTTATACATTGAGTTGAAATGGATCTGACATTATTTTATTTATATTTTCATTTCCAAATCGTGTATAAGTTTGTGTAATTGGTATATTTCAGATAACTTATTTAGTTGCTTACTAATATTTCTCTCTCTCTTGTCGTTTCCTCATTGCTGAGGATCGTGATTCCCTACAATGCGGGCTGTCAATTCTCTCCATCTCTTGCGATTTTGGGCTGCTCTCATGGACTCGGAAAACGTCTCTCCAGTGGCTTTCTGTACTTGATCTGACCATCGGATAGGTGAGCGTCCTCGGCCTCTACGTCCTTCTACGTTTCCGCACACAATTAGTCTTTCTAAGTTGTCATTGTCTCTTCTCGCAATGTGGCCAAAAAACTTTAAAACATTTGCAAGACACTGAGAGGAGAGTCTGGTCTGAATGTTTAGCTCTTCGAGAATCGACTGATTGGATCTGTGCTCCGTCCACGAGACGCGTAGCATTCGTCTCCAGCACCACATTTCGAATGCGTCAATCCTTTTCCTATCCTCTGATTTTATTGTCCATGTTTCGGCACCGTAACTAAAGATTGAAAAAACGAGTGTCCGTACCAGTCTCATTTTGAGTTTTTTGGACAAAGAGCGGTCCTTCCATATTTTTGACAGTCGACTCATCGCGTTCTTGGCCATTCCTATTCTTCTGCGAATTTCCGTATGGCAGGAGGCTGCATTGCTTAAGGAAGATCCTAGATACGTGAACTCGTCTACTTTCTCGAATTGATTTAGGGCGCCTGTTGTTTGGAGGATATTCGCGTGGTCCACAATCATGATTTTTGTTTTCTGATTATTAATCTTGAGCCCACACTTGTTGCTTTCGGTTTCTACTCTCTTTATCAGTCTCGACATCTCCTCTTCAGATGTTGCTATCAGTGTTGTATCGTCTGCGAATCTTAAGTTTGAGATCTTTTTCCCTGCAATGGAGATGCCGCCTCTCCATCCATCGAGTGCGTTCCTCATTATGTATTCTCCATATAAATTGAACAGGTCTGGAGATAGTATGCAGCCTTGTCGTACACCTCTGCTGGTTTTGAAGGTATCAGATTGCTGGTTTTCAATTCTTATTTTAACTGAGTTATCTTCGTATAAGTTTTTAATTAATATTGCCAAATGATCTGGAACTCCCATCTCATGAAGAACTGTCCAGAGAACTTCCCACTTTACACAATCAAATGCCTTTTGGTAGTCTAGAAAACAGATTATTATTGGAATTTTAAATTCGCGGGCCTTTTCTATGAGCTGCCGCATATTAAGGATTTGCTCTCTCGTACCCTTCCCTTTGACAAAGCCTGCTTGTTCTTGGGGAATTTGGTTGTCTAAGTACTGTTGCAAACGGCGTTTAATGATTCTTAGTAATATTTTGCTTGGATGGGAAATCAGTGAGATGGTACGATAATTACTACACTTTGTAGTTGTTCCTTTTTTATGGATTGGTATGCACAATGATGTGCGCCATTCTCTGGGCCACTTTCCGCATCTCCAAATTTTATTACAAAGTTTCCACATTATGTAACATCCTTTGTCTCCCATGTTCTGAAGGAGCTCTCCCGTGATATCATCGCAGCCAGGGGATTTATTCTTCTTGAGGTGAGTTACAGCTTCTTCAATCTCGGACAGCAGAATTTCAGGTTCAGGGTTGTATTCAGTGTTTTCGAGGGCTGAAGTGTGGCCTAGATTTACGTGTTCTTCCCTGTAGAGCTCTGAACAATAGTTTTTCCATGTTTCCAACACTCTGTCGATATCACTTATGATAATACCATGTTTGTCCTCTATTGCATAGTTCTTGGGTTTAAATTCTCTCGCAAGAATTTTCACTTTCCGGAAGAGGTCTTTGGTTTCATTTCGATATCCGTGATTTTCTATTTCTTGGCAGATTTCAGAGATGTATTCTTGTTTGTCTTTTCGGCATCTTCGTTGAATATCTCTGGAGAGAGCTTTATATGTCTGTTGATCACAGGGGCCAACTTTAAGTTGCTTTCTTTGTTCAATCACTTTCCACGTGTTTCTGCTGATCCATGGTTTAATGCTATTATTTATAGATGGTTGGCGACATTGGTTCACTGTTGTTACGATGGTTTCTTTAATATCTGTCCAGGCTTCATCCACGCTTTGTTCTGACTGATTGTTCCCTATTCTGGTTAGTGCTGGTTCAATTCTCTCTTTAAAGGTAGCTAATTCGGGGTCCGTTAGCCCAAAAGAACGGGGAGAAGCTTTGCGTATGTTCTTGAAACGCATTCTGTAATCTGCCATCAAGAGCTGGTGATCGCTTCCGCATTCTGCTCCTGGAAATGTTTTTGCGTTGGTAATTGAAGACTTCCATCTCGAACTGATCAGAATAAAGTCTATTTGATTTCTTGTTCTATCTCCAGGTGATTTCCAGGTATAGAGTCTACGCGGATGATGTTTGAAATGCGTGTTCATTACAGAAAATTTCCTTTGGTTGCAGAATTCTAGTAGTCGGTCTCCTCGCTCATTCTATCTCCTAGACCATATGGCCCTACAATCATCTTCATGTGGTCATGTCATGTCACTAATATTTAAATTTTCATAATTTAAATAGTCATTTTCGTCCATATCAGTTGCTGATCTCTTCTGTCTTATGTCCTGCGACGATTCAATTATATCAACCATTTCTTTTAATAAATTATTGTCGTTATCACTTTTGTTTGTACTTGGAGTAAAACTTGTAGTAGATGCGCTTGAAGAGGTCCTTGGTGTATGCAGAATCTTGTGTTGAATCATCAACATTTGTATCACCTAAGTTTGTAATTGTGGATCTCCCTTAAACGTGTGGCAACAGAAATTCCATTGGTTTTTCAAATTTTCAAGGAACTATATTAGTTGCTTCTTGATCACTCTTCTTGCGACGTATTTTTAATGCATTGGTAAAGCAGTTCCTTAAATTCCCCATTTATTTTTTATGTCTTCAACTGAAAGAAAAGATAATCATATTATTTATTTTCTGTTATAGGTTTTTATCACTGGATAGTTGATTCAGATCGGTAGGATTCAACTGTCGAATGGGATTCGATATCTACTACCGTACTACCGTACGAGAAATAGTACTTACAAGACAATTCATATGCCAAAACCTACAACTATAATGTGGGAAAAATCTGAAAATAGTTTTAGAAATTATTGGAATTTTCTTTAATTGCTGTTAGGCACTAGACGGAAAACATTTGATCATACTTGTCCTATAAATAGTGGCTCGAATTATTAGAATTATAAGGGGTATATAGATAAATTCAATCGTACTACTAGCCTTAGAACAAAAATCAGAGAAGCGAAAGAAAATAGCAAGGGAAAGATGCGAGTAGTACGATAGTCAAATGTACATAGGAAAGTTAAAGACTCACAGGGGGACTAAGACGAAGGCAGAAAGGAAATATAACCGATTCTGATGGAAGCAACATCTTGGACAAACAGAGTAAACTAGGAACGTGAAAAGAATATCTAGAAAAACTATTTGAAGACCAAAGATATATCACCTTTGAGCTAGAAGAAGAGGAAAATGATGGACCAAAAATATTACAGCAGGAAGTTCCACTGCACTGCTAGAATCTAGTTCACTGTCATCGAGTTGGAATCTAGATTCTAACTCGATGACAGTGAACTAGTTCTATGAAAATTAATGAACTAGTTCAATTAGTTCAGTTGAAAGAATGGTTCATTTGAACTATTTCGATGGTGAACTACTCATCCCTAGTTTACATGACATGTCAAAGAAGTTACTAAATTCCGAACATACCGTGATTGTCTTCTTATCATGTTGACAGTGACGGATCATGACGTGTGCGTACTTATGAGGTAGCAGTCGTTTAAATTATGGCGGCAGACGTAAACACAGAGTTAAATAATTCATGGAAAATGTATTTTCCAATAATGATAAATTTCCTAATGTCCATTGGGACTTACTGTTTTACAGTCAGAGTGATTCCAGGAATAAAAGATAAATTTATCAAAGCAAATTTGTTTGGAATTGATATGAGCAAAACAACCAGTGATAAAGTGTAAGGTTATGAAATATTAATTTTATTCTATATACTATATGTATATGTTAATACAAATTCACTACACAAAAGGAAGATATCTCTTCATTCTCAGTACTATTTAATAAAAATGATTCTGCAAAAATAAATTTAATAAAACCTTTTCTAGTTTGAATATTACCTTTTGTTATCTCTTAAAGGTAAACTAAACTGAATTTTTGCACTAGAAAATATTGACATATTGCGTCTGGTTACAAAGAAAATATCTTTCTAAATTTTTACAATTTATATGTCGAGGTTTCTTGACCTGAGTGCTTATCTCTTGCAAGTATTATTCCTCATGAAGTTAGTTCTCAAGTTCCTCATAGTCCTCAAGAAGGCACAGAGGGAAACCTGAATGGGAATACAGTGTCTTCTTTTCTTGTAGCTTCTATTATCTGTCTGATATTTTTTGGTTTCCCATATAAAATTATGAATTTAAATTTTGATTCCATTTTTTTCTGGAGACTACTAGCTTTTATGTTATGACAGCATTACCATTACAGATATAATGTCATAAAGTTATACAATATTGATCACATTGTTACATTATTAGGAAAAATACCAAACATACAATGAATATTATTCTGTTATTCTATTGAAATATGTTTTTTTAGGCCAGAATCATTAGGTGTAGTTACAGGATGTGCATTCCTTATTACCATGTTTTTATTTATACCTGTTCCCTTTGGAACCAGCTTGCTACATGGAGATTTCCCCCATGATGAGGTTTGTATAATTTTATATAGGTAGATGCTGAATTTATAGAATATTAAATTTTAATAAACTTAGGTGAACTCATTTGAGGATTATTCATTTGACTACATTAACTACAAATTAAGCAGGTAAAGAGTCTTTGTTGGACAATGAGGATAATACATGAAACAACTTTTGAAAATATCAGTATTTTGTTAGTAAATTCTTTATATATCATGAGGAAATTTAGGAAACATTATTATACTATGTGATAATATAATGGTCATAGTAAATGATATTGCATCAACCAAATATCATGGTAAATAAACCCACCTAATTATCAAAGATTAATTCTGGCTTAGGAAAAATGCAAATGTTACATGTAGTGGATTTAGCTGGAGAATATTGTAAGCACAAAAATCACATCAGTGACATTAATTGAAGCATATTCAATAATTTAACCAACAGATGAAACATTTACAAGTAATTTCAAAAGAGAGTGTCATTTTTTAAGAAACTACCCATTAATTTGTAGTTGTCAGTCAGACAGAAAGTATTTGATGACAATATAGATAATTTAATCCCTCACCACTCTTACATTTTGACAGAAGCCTCTTAAAACCACATATGTCGTTATTTCTGCGTTTTGGTTACCTCAAGACAACATTTATAATACTGTTCATTTAAATAACAAGATGTCTCTTTACACTGCAGAATTAATAACAAAATTTGAGTCTCTTAAATATATTTTAAATTATCAAAATAACAAAAACAAATCTATAATTTTCTCATATAGTGAAAGCTCCATAGAAAAAAGTTCCAATTTGAACATAAAAATAACATTAGTCTGGGCACTTTATGTATAAAACAAAACAAAATGAAAAAGCAGATATACTAGCAGAGCAAGGAATGCAGAAAGAGAAAATAGCACATTATAAATGTATCAAAGAAGTTATATTATCATAATATGAAAAAAATAATAGTTAAAAAAGGGCATAGGGCATTTAAATCCAGTAATAAAAGACTCTATTATAAAATATCCAAATCAAAATTAGTGAAAACCCATGGTTATGAATTATGAGGTAAAAAAAATGTTTCAACAAGACTAAGATTTCATGATACCTTAAACCTGCCAAAAAAGTTTAAATTAAACTTGATAGAAATCTGATCTGAGAACTGTCTCCTTCATAACTCCTCCCTCTATGACATTTTTCTTTACTGTCGTTCAGTCTGTAGAACAGAGATCACAACCAGTCTTCTTTGTTAAGGTCTTAATTTTGCCTCTTTAGACGGGTCCTGATGATTTCTTCATTAAGCTCTTTCTCTGGGATGCTAGTGAGGGTCATGGGGCGCTTGGGTATATTATTTTGATCAATTATATTTAAGTTTGCTCCCTCCCACAGGCCCTGAATAGTCTTTATCACTTCAGTCATCCATTTTTTTGTATACTTATTAACACAGTTTACCCACAGGGTCTCTTCGCTAAACGATGTTTTATGGAACTGCAGAAGTTCATTTTGACCTCTGATAGGAGCCTCATCAAGTGCTGCTCCAGTTTGTTGCTGTGTGCTACCACCATTCTGAATACTTTTGCCACAGTGCTTTATGACCTAGAGCCTCTTGGATTCTTAGCAACTCTATTACGAGGGTGGTGATGGTATTCTCCCGAAATCTCTTTTTATTCTCGGGTGTTGCTGATTTGGTTTTCTTGGGATTTGCTATGGTCTATGTCCCAGCAGCCATTTTTGTCTTTTTTCTTATCTTCATTTTGTTGAGCTCAAGTGAGGCGTTATTTGAGACTTACTTATTTATTTTTTTAACTTAAAAATCCTAAATTATACTTTACAATTTCGAATTTTCAAATTGTAAAAAATAATTCTTTGGTGTATGTGCTAAAAAGCAATTCTATGATACTAACAAGATCAGGAATTGTTTTTTGATTGAAACATGTTTCAATTTTTTGAGGTTCTCTCTCAGTGATTGACTTTTAATTAATTTTATTTATAGTTTATAAGAAGAGAGTTTCATTATATTATTTGTAAAATTTGTACATATTTAAATTTAAAATTTCAATCATAATATTTTTTCTAAAAAGATTCATTTAATAAAAGTTAAAATGATAATTCATTTTCTTCAAAATGGTATTCTACGACTATGTGGCATCTACATATAAAAATATCTAAAGTTGCATTTGTTGCCCCACTCTTCCTTATTTAGAAGACAAGAAAGTGAAAGATTTAGAAAATGACAGTGAAAGATTCTTCTAAATGCGTCTATATTCTTTGATATTAGGTTGTAAAAATATAGCTACTGATTTAATATAGATCTAAACAATGTGTTGGTCAGATAATGGTCAGTAAATGTATACTTACATTAAGTACTCCTTTGTGTCTATCCTCATGTTTCCCTAATTTACCTGTGGTGAGGTTTGTGCTATGTCTAAATAACTCTGAAAGTCTGCACTTATTTTTGTGAAATTTTGTTCTTAAGTGCTTACTTTGACTTTTCTTTCATGCTTACATAAGGTATTTATTTAAAACTAATTAAAAAATTTCACTCCAGTTGCATTGGTCATAGAAAGATTTTATTTTTTAAAAGTGTGTTTTTTATAAGCTTTTAAATGACGCATTTCTGTTGCAACAATTGTTACTCATAAAATAACAGTAATTGATAATTAAATTTTAAAAAATTCTTAATTTTTTAAACTATAAGATACTGAGATGCCATACGAATATGAATGATTTTTTATTCATTCATCATCATCATCAATCAGCCCTGAGTTGTCCATTGTTGAACATAGGCCTCCTCTAGACTTTTCCATCTGCTTCTGTTCTGCACCTCTCCTATACAATTGGTCAAATTCTTTTAATCATTACTCAGCTCTTAAGATTACCATTTGAAAATAGCATGTTGCTATATAATAACCTAGCTTTTGAATTATAGTGAATTTTACACAATAAATACACTCGAGCTTATCAATTGTAGTGAGTTTATCATTTAGCATAATGGTTGTATGCTTAAATCTGTTTGGAGTTTGCTGTTGAACTGTTCAGACTATTATGATAACAAGTACATTATATATATTTTTTAATTTCAGTTTGTGGAACTAATAGCAGCACTCTTATCAATATGCTGCATGCTGCTACTGGGATTTGCAGATGATGTATTAGATCTGAGATGGAGACATAAACTTCTACTGCCAACAATAGCCTCTCTACCTCTACTAATGGTTTATTACGTGAATTTTAATTCCACAACGATTGTAATTCCTAAACCTTTCAGAGATTTATTGGGATTTTCAGTAAATATAGGAATTTTGTATTATATCTACATGGGAATGCTAGCTGTGTTCTGTACAAATGCAATAAACATTCTAGCCGGAGTTAATGGCTTAGAAACTGGACAAAGTGTTGTTATAGCACTGTCAATTATTATATTTAATGTTATCGAACTGTTTGGGCCTCTCCCAAAGCCACATCAATTTAGTCTCTATTTCATGCTGCCATACACTGCTTCTACGCTTGCACTTTTAAAACATAATTGGTAAGTATTTTTATTTTTGATATGTGCTAGTATTTAGAAAATAGATTTATTTTGACTTTTCGATTTCCACTCTAATAATCATTTAATTTTGAGAATGATTTCTGAAACAAAAATCGAAATTACGTAAAAATGAACGTATTTTTAATTAAAATTGTGATTATTTCTCATTAACAGTAGTTGATAAAAAATAAAAATACACATGAATTTTTGCAATCGAAAATATGAATTTGCTTGATATTTTCATAATTTTCTGAAAGTTTACTTAACAAAAGATTTTTTTCAAAGTTTATATTGATATTTTATGTGGTATTTTTTGTAAGTTATGAGTACAGTAATACCTCGACTTACGCTACCCCGACTTAGCGAATCGAGAGTTACACGATTTTCAAATCTTGTCGATTGTCATCTGAGTGCCACACAATTCGTTGATTATCGATTAGATAGAATTACCGTCCACACATTATTGCCCATTCAAGGTACATGTTTTGACTTTTCGCACGAAATCAGCTCATTTATTTTGTATTAGGTATTTCTTATCCACAGTTTTGTCTACTGAGTGGGTGTTATAGTTTATTCGTCTTCCGGGTTTGGACCTTGTCATTTGTGAGTGACCCAAAAGTGGGTTCATCTCGACGTTTCGCTACAATTGTATGTAGCTTCTTCAGGAGAACAAAGAAAAAGAAATCAAAAGACAGGAAGATGGGTAGTTAGCAACGGTAACTCAGTTACTCAACCCAACCAGAGGCGAATACTAACTACCAAGATGGGCATTTGGTCACAGTAACTCAACTACTTAACGCAGCCAGAGGTGAAAACCAAATGCCAGGACAGGGATTCACGTCCAACAGCTCAGAACACTAACGCGTCGAGAGGCGGGGAGTGAATCCGACGATTACTCCGCTACCGCTCTATTTATAGTCGCGGTGACCTGTCGTGTCGGGACGTATCGGCACACTCCGTGGCGCGAACGTCAAGAAGCGCGCGCTGGCCAATCATGTGGCTGCATCGTGGTAGCGGGACCGGGACGGCGGCTCTAGACTGAGATGGGAGACAAGTAGTATCCTTCCTCTCGATTGATATTATGTGGATTTTTTCGGATCTCTAGAGATTCGCGGATTTTCCTGAAATAAAAGAAGGGCTCTTAGAAATAATATGGGTTTTTCGAACAATATGGAATGACCGGTTTCTTGGCAGTGTTCTGCAACTGCAGAATGGGAGAAAAGACCTGATCGAATGCATCTTTTGATGATCTTGAATCCGAGTTTTGACGGAACGACCAGTTTCGCCAATATACACATGTCCACATGAACAAGGAATAAAATAGACACCACAGGAAGATAGGGGCGGTAATGGGTCCTTAGGAGAGGGTAGATATTGTGAGATTTTCTTGGGTGGTCGAAAAGTAGTCCTGATACCTTCTTTGCGAAGAATTTTGCCAATCCTATCAGTGACACTTCGAATATACGGAAGAAAAGCCACAGTAGTATTACCCGAAGATTCTGAATTTGTCGTCCTAGGGTGTAAAGGGGATGTAGATGTCGGTGTGTAATATTTTGAATTGTGGACTTGGAGTAACCGTTGGCGACAAGGGTTTTTTGCAGATGGCCAAGTTCTTTTGGGCAGGATGGTGGAAAAGAATTCTGTGATCAACTCTCTCATCCATCGGGCCATTTCGATTTCTGAACCTGACAACCTTAGAGAAGAACTTGGCCATCTGCAAAAAAACCCTTGTCGCCAACGGTTACTCCAAGTCCACAATTCAAATATTACACACCGACATCTACATCCCCCTTTACACCCTAGGACGACAAATTCAGAATCTTCGGATAATACTACTGTGGCTTTTCTTCCGTATATTCGAAGTGTCACTGATAGGATTGGCAAAATTCTTCGCAAAGAAGGTATCAGGACTACTTTTCGACCACCCAAGAATATCTCACAATATCTACCCTCTCCTAAGGACCCATTACCGCCCCTATCTTCCTGTGGTTTGTAACATACAATTGTAGCGAAACGTCGAGATGAACCCACTTTTGGGTCACTCACAAATGACACGGTCCAAACCCGGAAGACGAATAAACTATAATTCTGACTGGCCGTGGAAACCTACGATTTCATTTGAGTGGGTGTTTATTACTTTTCCAGCAGGATTTTTATTTTATATCTACAGAAGACTTAAAAGAGCAATGATGTCATCTAAACGAAGTAAAAATTGTACAGACAATTAAGAGGCGGAAACTTGAATATTTCGGTCATATATTAAGAGGTCCTCGTTATGGGCTACTACGTTTGATTATAGAGGGCAAAATAAAAGGTAAAAGAGATGTAGGAAGAAGACGAACCTCCTGGCTACGAAATCTAAGGGAATGGTTTAGTCTGAGCTCTAGCCAACTATTTAGAGCTGCTGTAAGTAAAATAAGAATTGCCATGTTGATATCCAACCTTCGTTAGAAGATGGAACCTTAAGAAGAAGAAGAAACGAAGTAAAACTGATCCTTCTGTAGCAAATAAGACAAGAAAAACGTTATTTTGGAATGTAAACTTAACTATCAAAGAAGTTTGATCTATCAGAATCAACGGTGAAAACAATTATAAAAGGTAAGGACAAAATTCTCGAAGCTGTGAAAAGTGCACAATCTTTTAAATTCCACCATCCTACGTAAACGTCCTAGTATTATCGCCGAAATGGAGACAATGTTAAAATTATGGTGTGATAATGAGGTAAAATTGAAAAATTGTCCTATTTATCAGAATGCATTGTGCTCCCAAGCTAAACTAATTTTTGAGAGATTGAAAGAGAAATCGATAAGGATGAACAGTTTAAAGTTAGTAATGGTTGGTTCAGCCGATTCAAAAGTCGTTGTAATTGCGAAAACTACAGGATTTGTAAAAAGAGACTGCATCGTAGAAATTAAAAGCCATAATAGATAAATGTGGCTACACCAAAACAAACCATATTCAATGTAGATGAGACTGACCTGTTTTGGAAGAAGATGCCTAAGAGTACTTTCATCGCACATGAAGAGAAACCCTTTCCAGGTTTTAAGGCTGCCAAAGATCGATTAACAGTAATGGTGGGGTCAAATGCTAATGATTGCAAGTTAAAACCTCTCTTAGTTTCCCATCTCTTTAGATCCCATCAATCCAATTTCTTTCCAACTATTTACGTTTTCTAGTGCACCAAGAGTGTATTAAATAATAATAAATAAGGTAAATGAAACAAGAATCAAGATTGTATATATATATATTTTTCATTTTGTTCACATTGGCATTGAGTTACGAATGAATTAAAATTAACAGTTAGTAAATATTTGGCTAGTATAACAATATAATAGACACACAAGAATTGTTAGTTTGTAAATATCACAAAAATAACCACTTCATCTGCAATTAGGATTATAATAAGCAACAAGAAAGCGCATAGGAACACAACATAAACTAAAAATGAGCAGTTGATGGACATTTAAATTCTCGTATCACCCCGAGTATAACAATATTCTTTATCTCAAACATATTGACACTACTCAAATGTCAGATAAAATATGCTGTAATTATTTTAAGTAGATTTACTGGATGGAAACTTGATAACAAAAAGTAGTAACCAATCTGAAATATGTACTATTGATTAAGAGAATCATACATAACCTCCTGTTCTAACATGGTTAGGCACTAAAGGAGTGTGTAGGCTTTTTTTGTAATGGTGTATTATATTCGGGGATTATAGACAGTAGTCTGACACATCTATTTTTGATAAGACCCCTCTACAGAGATGATATATCAAGATAGGTTTATCACCTACAGAAAAATTGTACGAAATAAGCACATTTAGTGTACTCTCTTACATTGTGCTTTCATATTAGGTGAGTGAGCTCGGCACTTCTAAGTCCTAAGAGAAATTATTATGTTTTGCAGATTTCGTGCACGGCAAAAATTTCCTAAATCTCTAACAAAAGGTGTAATAATGTTCTCCTATAATGCTCTTGGTTAACAGTAACTGCTTGTTCTCATCTTCAACAAATGCTCAACAAAATAAGGACCAATAATCCCAAACCCAGACATCAAGCACACCAAATGTTACTCATTCACTGTGGAGTAGTTTCTCTACTATGACATCTGGGCGTTCAAATCCAAGAAATCGAGTTGTTTATCTATTGATACAAGGTGAATGTGATTTTTGTCCGAAATCCATGAATTTCTCGAGAAATCGGGATCTTCATACACTAGACTCACCACTCCTCCACAGTAAACTCTTTTACAAGTAATTACCAACAGATTTCAACTGTAAACTTGTAGGATGTCTGAACTCCTTATGATGGGATCGCAACATTTCCAAAAGGAACAAAAAAGAATAGGGAGAACCGTGGTTGAATCATTTCTTTGTTATGGCTCTGAAGTATGGACAATTAATGCAGACCTGAAGAGAAGATTGTTGGAAGTTGAAATGGATTATTTAAGAAGAAGTACTAGAACATCAAGGCTGGAAAGGAAGACCAGTGAATCTATAAGAAATAACATGATTGCTACAGAAACAGTCATTGACAGAATATAAAGAAGAGGTTTAAAATGGTTTGGGCACCTATTGAGAATGCCTGACGAACATTGACCACAAAAACTTCACAGATGGAAGCCCCCTGGAAGAAGAAAATAAGGTAGACCTCAACGCTCATGGAATGAAGGAATTAGAAGAGCGATGGAATCGAGAGGTTTGCAGGAGGGGCATGCCTTGGACCGAGAGGATTGGCGGAGGAGAACGGGAATACGGCGATAGCCGTCTCCAAAATGTATTGTATTTACAAGTTGGATCCTGTAATATATATAGAATTCAACTGTCGAGGTGTTATTTCACTGATATTCAGTTTATATGTAGTACGTTGGAGGCTTCGTTTTGGAAACTGAAAGATCTAAGAACTGTTTTTAGACGATAGGAAGAGCCCTTGAGATGACACAATACACTAACAGTGTAACAAAATTTCTGATATATCGCTACCATTACACTTTTACTGTCTTAAAAAAGGTGGTGGTATAAACTAATAGTACTTATATTGCAGAATGAGTACCAGAAGAGTGGCTAAAGGGAATAATATGTCCGTTGCGTAAAAAGGGTGATCAACTGGAGTGTAAGAACTATGGAGGCGTTATTCTGTTAACATCTGTGTATAAAATCTTCGAAAATGTATTGTTTGAAAGACTTAAAACGTTTTACAAAGGATATTGTTGGTCAATATCAATGCGGATTTACTGCTGGAAAGTCACTAGAATATAACATAGATCGACACCATCTCTTCGTCAACATCAAAGCAGCCTGTGATAATGTGAAAAGAACTGAATTATATAATGCATGATAATTTGGAGATCCCACCTAAGTTAGTTAGTTGACCCAACCAACAATGCAAAATGTAAGCTCATGCGTTAGAATTGAAGGAGAAAACTCTACATTCTTTGACATTAATAATGGTCTAAGACAGGGAGACGCGCTGGCGTGTCTTCTCTTTAATATTCTGTTGGAAAAGGCAATCAGACAATTAAATATTAGAATGAATACAACAATTTTTAATAGATCGACGCAAATTCTGGCATTTGCTGACGATATAGTTATAGTGGGCAAAAGTATGAGAGACATGACGCAGTGTTTTACAAGGCTTGCGGACGCGGCAAGTGAATTAGGACTCGTGGTAAACGAGGAAAAAAACCAAATATATGTTGGTTAATATAAACAGTATATAAATAAACAGACGCATAGCAATAGCAAAAAGAAATAGTTCATGGAATCATTTAAAAAATAAAAATATAAAACATGCAGTTTTTTGCAGCAAAAATATAAAGCTCAATATATACAAGACCTTAATAAGACCGGTTTTGATATATAGGGCTGAAACGTGGACCTTATCTCAAAATGATGAAAGGCTTCTTGGTATTTTTGAGAGAAAAATTCTTAGAAAGATTTTTGGGGTTGTAAATGAAAATGGGCTATGGCGTCGAAGATACAACTTAGAACTATATCAGTTATACACTGGTCTAGGATATCAGATCACGAATACAAGAAGGGACTAATATTTTCAAAACCAGAGGGCACAAGACGTAGAGGAAGAGCACGAAGGGATGAATTAATGATTTTTGACTAAGGTTAATGCAAAGTGTGGTTAATACTTACTAGGAGTACATGAATGTAGCCACTAAATATATGGGTAAAAACCTGTTAACAAATAATTAGTTACATTTGGTTTACAATATTTCTTATAATATGTTATGATGTTATGAAGTTACTGTTGGATAAGGTCAAAGGTCATCGTAACATATCATATCATAAGATAAGGTTTAACATCATAACATATTATAAGAAATATTGTACTCCTAGTAAGTATTAACCACACTTTGCATTAACCTTAGTCAAAATTTCTACCTTATGTTCTTTTTAATTAAGTGGTTATATATTTTCTAGGACACTGATGATGGAATATGGATTTCGAAAAGTTGCTCTACTATAAGCACTTTCTCCTAAGTTGTGGGAATCATTTTTACGGCGAGAACGGTTTTAATAGAGTACTGTTAATTTGACAGTTAATGATAAATAAGCTCAATCAAATAAATATGTGTTGCGTGTGCCATTTCACAGCCGTCTAAATTTCTCTACTGTTAATTTTGACGAATATCGTATTTCCAGAATTTATTAAAAAAAACCGATATAATAGCGTTTTTTAAATACATCTATAGCATATAAAACGGAGATACAATTTAAAATCCATCAACTTTCACAAACTCAAATAAGGGTATGCTACCATTACATACATACATGTTACTTTACCACACAACCTAAGAAATTATAGCAAAACCAACAACAGTTCCTAAATATACTAATTAAAAAGCAATAAAACGTAAAAAATTAACATAATTTAAAACTAAAATGCAAAAAAAAGCTGGAACATTCCTCTAAAACTAAATCTATTTTCATGATGATTACATATAATCAAATGGAACATTTATTTTTTATTGGTATTCTTAAGATTATATTGATAGCACTAATTTAATGAATTAAATTTTGAAACTGAAATAGTTTTAACAGTATCACCATTACATGTATGAATTGTAATAAAATATATTTTTATAAAAATTGTTATTTTGACGTTTGACGCTGTAAAGAATATCCCTAATCAATTTGTGCTCAACAAGTTTCCAGTTTCCATTAGTCTCGGTCATTCAGAAGGTACTGTTCCTGTACTTTTTACCTTGTCAACTCCTTCTCTTCAGCTTAATCTCAATCTGCCCTTTTTTCATCTTCCATGCATGTGTCTATGTTAATACTTTTTTTGAGATACTGCTCTCATCCATTATTTGTAATATAGCTTTCATATGTAACAATGCTTTTGACAAGCTATTATAGATTCTGTGTTTATATTCTCTCGAAATTGTTTTATCCACCAGTATGCTGTTCAATTACTGAATGACTTGTCTTCCCTGGTTATTTCTATGTTTAACTTCTTCATCCAAATTGCTGTCATTGATTATTTGCATTATAGATATTTATACATTTTACAGTGATTTAGTTGTTGCTGTCGCTCTTCCAAAATTTGGATTTTGTTCTCCTATAACATGTATTATGATTTTTTTTGAACGGCAGCAGATAGCAATACTATACTAAAATCACAATCAAGATGCAATAGAAATAAACAAACCAAGACACTTGAATGTTATGTAGAACACTCCCGAATCATGATTTACAATATATAAACTTTGTAAATCATGATTTGTGATTTATACAATGTATATACATTGTAAATCATTATTTGAGAGTGCCAATTGTACCATTTAATGTGTCTTGGTTTGTTTATTCTACAGCGTCTTGATTGTGATTTTAGTATAGAGCGACTTCTTCTAAGGTTCTTTGTGCCATCACTAATTCGCTGTGATTCATTCCAAATGCACACATTTACAGGGACTTAAAGATCCAAACAGTCAAGCAAATGATTGTTAAAAGCAGTAATAAATATTTTAAACAACTGGAAAAACAGCCTAATAAAACAGCAGTAAATTTATTAGACCACTCCACACAACTATATATATTGCATATTAGAACTTCTCTTGTCTAAACTTAGTGAGTGGGAGTTAATAGTCAATTGGACTAAAATTTTTGGTTACATATATGTTCATTCAAAAAAAAATGCTTAATGTTACTTGTTATGTAACATATTGTATTTTAAAATAAATAAATCAATAAATAAGTATGTTTAGATATTGTAGAACACATACAAGTACACCACCATTTAAGATCTATATCTTAGTATGGATAAAAGTAGATGTAAACTATTGATGACCACATGATCAAACAAAAGGAAGATCCAAAAAAGTTATCTATATCATATACAGAGAAACAAGGATTAACCTCTAAGAGAGGTGTACAGAGATATAAGTAATTTCAGTATATTCAAAATTTAAAACTCAATAATTCAATACTCATTCTAAGTTAATACATGATTTCAAACAAATCAAAACCATACATTTTTTAATGGCAAGAAACAATATTCAATGTTAATTAGGCATTTCGTTAGGTTTTTCAATGAAATAAGTAAGTACTAACATTCATTTTGATACTTAAAGAAAAGGTTTTTTGTCAATATAATAGCATATAATACATTTTAAAGGAATACAGTAAAATTCACAATAATCCAGGTAAAGGCTATGCCATTTTTTATTTATTTTACTATTCAAGAAAGACAAGGTTTTCCTAATCTATTTATTGTCTAATAATACTGTATGTGTTACATTATATTAATACTATAAGTAATCTTAGGAATACCAAGTGGTACAAAACAATATAATTGTGGTAATTCTTAAACTAGAAACAAAACAATCAACCTCAAAATATAGGAATTAGTAAATAATACTTTTGAAAAATTGTCGTTACGATTGTCAGATCAAGACAACACACACAGTCACATTTATAATGTTACGTAATACTATTTAACTGAAATAATTCAGAAATGTTTTAATAATAATTTTTATACTAAATCCAGTCTTTTTGGAAGATATATGGAAATCAAAATACAAGTTTACTGGTTTCCTTAATTTTTTTTACCAGTGTTCTTTCAAATATTAACTAAAAGATCTATCTTAGAATTAATAAAAAGCAATCTTCAGAAGCTAGGCATACTATACTGATAAATGCCAAGGCATTCGAAAAGCACCAATAGGTTTATGTAATGTGACTGTAAGTGAATAAAAGTCATAAAAAGCTTATCAAGTTGCTCTCAAACCTATACAAACAGAAAACGAAAAGAATAATTAAATATCATAATAATCTGCCTTTGAATAAAAATTAATAAGTAGAAAATCATACTTCCAGTCATGTTCCAGTACAAATTTTGGTGCAAAATAATTATCCTGGTACTTGTGTGCTCTCGTAAGCTCGGTTTTCCCATCTATATACACTCCGTTCTCAATAAGATCTTCTATATAACTATTATCTACTTTTTGGTGATCTATTTTATCCCAGTTTATCACATTTTTCGGCTTAGTCGCTAAAAACTCTACAATTTTGGCAGGATCATTGCAGTATTCACAGTACCATCCCCCAAAGTGGTTTAGATCTCCCAAGGTTAGACCTAAAATAAAAAATCATTTACTCAACTATGACAAGACAATTATATTTACCAAAGATAAGTCATGGCTTGAAAAAACTTGATTGAAAGATCATGAAAAGCATTATTGAAGTGATTTTTTAAAAGATTGGTGTTACAGTTACTGAGTTTTGCTATAATCAAAAAGATCCTGCCCTTCAAAGCTGTAAATTTTTACTTTTTACAATGGTAGAACAGGAATTGCTACCAACAACAAAACTTGATCTTTTCTCATTAGGATGATCAAAGCTGAAAGGGGACAGTGTATCAAGCTCTCTGACATTACCAATGATTAGATTGGCAGAAATCTCGTTTTGTTATATACCTAAACTACTGATTTTTTTTACATGTAAGTTTTCAAGTCTTTTTTGCAAAATTAAAACTGCTTATAAGTTGGGAATTTTTTAAAGTGAATTCAGAATACAGAAGCACATCAATAATAACATCAAAAGCTTTTATAGTGTTCATATTATATTTTTACTAACCTTTATATGCTGGACTAGAAAGTGTTTTGTTATCTATAAGTAGCTTAACTTTATTATTAAAGGATTCCTTGAGAAAAGAGACAGTTGATGCACCTCCTCCTGTGATGGTTTTACCAGGATGTTTCCAGAAAAATCCAAAAACAGACCATCTATATCTAAATTTTATAGGCTGTGGCCAATGATCGTGGAATTTTAAGAAAACTAGGGCATCTTTGTTAGGCAGTTCGTTTATATCACTAGAAAGAATTATGTCATCATTTCTTATGTTCTTTAAATAGTTTTTAACCTTTTTCCATAAATTCTCACCATCATCTTGGATGTAGAGGATTTTGTTTTGGTATTCCTTACAAAAATTACTGTCTAATTTGTTTTGAAGAAAATTTGAGTCTTCGTCTTCATATAGAATAAAAAGGTCTACTACTGTGCCTATAAATAAGTTAAATTATATATAGATAACAAAAAGTACAATGGATTAGTTATTTGTTTAAACAATTTGGATTAGTTATTTGTTAAAACATAATAACATGCAGAGGCAAACTAAAAGGTAAGATATTAAGTACTAAAAAAGAAAGAGGAAATTATTATATGAAAATTCATTTTTTATTTGATGAGAATAAAAAATTATAAAAGCATTAAATTCATACAATACAGTATTAAAACATCTAACTGATATATCGCTGGAAGTTCTGATATTGTCTTAACACAATATCAGATAAACACATAGAGAAATGCACAAATGAAGAAACAAAAGAGAAAATATATGGTAAAAAAATGAATTTTAGTATTTTTTCAAGTAATAAGAAAGTAGAGGATAAAAAAAACGAAGATACAAGTTGTTTAAAATGATCATATCCAAAGAAATAAGACAATATCTTACCAATAGTGACCAATGCACAAAATACAATGATAATGAAGAATTGTATAAACTGTATAGACTAATTTGTTTTATTATAAATTAGGTAGTTGGTGATGAATGCAAAGCAAATTTTTGACCTTTAAAGTTTACATATAAACAACCAATACCATACCTAAATCATTAATTCTCATATCTGCCAAATATTCCGAAAATTTATTGACTTTGAACAGATATATCAATCTCCTTTCAAATGTTCTAGGTCCTTTAATTTTGTAAGGCTTTTTACTTGCTATAACGGCTCTCCACATTACCTCAGGTATACCACAATCATTTCCATGCCAACCAGGAAGACAAGTGCATTTCCAATTTACCCCTTGGGATATTTTCATAGATTCTAAGTCTGTACCATTTTTAAAACATAAACTAGAGTTAAAATCAATATAGCTCTGTCTGGTATTAACGGTTTTTAATATGATATTGCTTTTCAGTACATGATATGTCATTTGAGTGTCTCCTAAATCCTCCTCACTTTTTAGAAATCTTACGCCATTTTCGGGGGTTTTCGAATTAGGTTTCAATTGTGAATATAAGTAAATTATTATTAGGAACAATTGGCATAATATTAGTATCCATACGGATATTCTCTTAAGGTTAAAACGAAAGATATACATTTATTTTCTTAGCAGCTACATAACCTTAAATTTAGTCCTAAAAACTAAGACGAAAACTGAATGTGATGTTAGAAATGGGGCTATAGAATTATTTTGCGACCTATTTGCTATTAATTTCATAATTACATTGGAACACTTAATACAAGTAGGAAACACCCCTATTTTAATTTTGAATTAAGTTCGCATTTTCGGTAGGAGGCAAAGCAGCTGTAAATTGACAGCAATGACAGTTAACGTTGACAGAAATTCAGTATTTGCTATGTTCAGAATGTTTTAGATAACTGTAGAGGGACAGTTCTTTTTTCCAGAGCCGTATTGAGGTTAGAAATATTAAAGATTTGAGTTTATCATATATAACTAAATAAGATTTAAACGGTAATATGTGGTTCAATCATATTGTTTACTATGCTATCGATTATAGCTATGCTATAAAATAGCAATATGATGTTTTATATATTAGATATGATTATTTTTTTTATGAAGTCATATTTATGTTTGTTGCAGGTATCCGTCGAAAGTCTTCGTAGGAGACACATTCTGTTACTTCTCGGGAATGACGTTCGCTGTCGTCGGCATCTTAGGTCACTTCAGTAAAACGACGTTATTATTCTTTATACCCCAGGTATTTAATTTCCTTTATTCCTTTCCACAACTTTTCCGAATTATACCTTGTCCTAGACACAGATTACCGAAATTCAATTCGAAAATAGATCGCATGGAGATTAGTACCACCGTATTCAAATACTCCGATTTAAATATTTTAGGGAAAATAGTTATAACCATATTTCGGATATTTAAACTTATAAAATGGCAAGAGAAGGATGGGATTGTGGTAACAAATAATTTAACTCTCATTAATTTGGTTCTTTTGTACTGCGGGCCATTGCATGAGGCTAAGTTGGTGACAATTTTAATATGTATACAAATTTTCTGCACGGGTGTTGCATTTGTGATAAGGTATCCTTTGGCATCTATATTTTACGATATATAGATAATATTGTGATAAAACTTTGTTCATAATTTGAGAATAAAGAATAAAATAAATATAAGATAATGATTAAATTACATAAAAGTTCAGAATAGAGAGTAGAAATTTTACGTGATTGCTTTGGTATGAATGACAACTCATGATGTTGTTTAATTACACTTTGAATAATTAAAATTTGAAATCTGTTTCTGTTAATAACATATTTAATGACTTGTCTATACACGGTGTCCCAACCAAAAGTTGTACCCCCTAAAACGCGGTAAAATAAATGTTTTAATTTCAATGAAAATTTATAAAAATATAATTCTTGCAACTTTATCCTTTTTGCTGGGATTTGTCACAATTCTTGTGTATTTTTGGGTCCAGTGGCGTAAATGGTTGATTTCTGATGACCAGAGAGTATGGAGACCAAGGTGGCATTTCAACCGCACGATAAAACTTTCATTCAAAACTTCTCGGACCTGAACAGCAAAATGAGGCGATGCACCATTTTGCTGAAACATTATCTGATTCTCTAAAAGGTTATCGTCGTTTTCTAAAATTTCTGTGGTCTGAGTCATTCAATAGTATTTGCTAGTTAATAATGCCAGGTGAGCCGCTTCATTCAGATTTCCTTCAATGAAAAGTCCAACGATATGGTCCCCCAAAATTTAGGCCTATACATTGATTTTTTGACAAGCAAATTTGGATTATCGATTCAGTTGTGTTGGTTAAAACGTTCGAAAAACTACAGGCGTCGATCAGGATCATTTTTGTTCAACTCGTGAATTTGTGCCATTTTGTATGGTCGGAATTTATGTGTTTCTAAATACTATGATCATTAGGGCGTCAAACACCAGAAGATCCAGATATTTTTCTGATAGACTAAGTGGGATCCACATGCACATGACCCAACATGTTTCGGGATTACATCAGTTTTGGTACAATCATTCTTACAAATGTAAATGAAAACTATTCCAATTCTTCCTTTTTTGGTATAAATCATTTTGATCGTAGGCGACTACAATCTTATAACTTTTGCGAATAAGTTTAATTTTACGTTCGTTCTGATAAGCCAGAAAACAAAAATAACAATATACAAAACCTTGTACCACCAGTGATGACATATGGATCGTAAACATGGACCAACTCTAAGACAAATGAAAATCTTTTGCTCATATTTTATCGAATAATATACTTAGAGGAATATTCAGTGGCATCTGTGAAAACGGTATTTAGAGGAGAAGGTACAACTATGAGATATACCACAAATTTAAACATATCTGGTGGTAAAAACGTGATATCTCTCGTAAAAATAGGAAGACTAAGATGGGCAGAGCATCTAGCAATATGACAGAAGAACAATCCTTCTATATGAATGCTTATGACAGAGCCGGTGGGAAGTAGGCCACAACTTAGTTTGTGTTCCAGCCATTATACATGTTTCGCCATGTTGGTGTTTATTGAACATATGTATAACGCAGTTTGACTCATAGTATGCCTCCTGGATGCGAACTGAAAAAGTTTGTCTCTTAAATAGAGGAATTCTAAATTTTAGTGGTCGGTTGGTATTCAGAGATAGTGGTCTCTATGTATTGAAGGTAGACTGAGAATATTTATATTTTAATAATTATTTATATATCTATTAATTGAGTTGTCACGAAATACCAAAAAGTAACAATGTATAATTAGAAGTCGTTTAACGGTTCAGTTAGGGAATCGGCACTAGACTGTTTAACATTGTGCCTACTTAGATCTTACAACTTTTCTTGTTCTTTAAAAAAAGCGTTGGCTATAAACTGAAGTAATACGTTGCAAATTGATATTTTAGTATATGTAAATAATTTGGTATCAAATAAAGAGCAAATAACAGGAACCCAAAACAAAAATCAAACAGGATTGCTTAAGGGCAGAGGTGGATACATTCTTCTTATTTCTATTTCTATGCCGTCCCCATCAACGGTTGTTGGTGACCATATTTCTAAAAACTTCTTTGTCCTTAACTTCTTTTCCGGTGCCTTATCCGGTCCGGATGTTGACGATCATCAAGGCTATCATGGTTTTGTTGACTGCTCTGCGAAACAGCTCCGCGGAGGTCATCCCAAACCATTGTTGGAGGTTTTTTAACCACGAGATACGACGACGTCCAGGTCCTCTCCTGCCAAATACTTCACCCTGCATAACAAGTTGAAGAATTCGATATTTTTCTTCGTTTCACATCACGTGCCCGAGGTACTCAAGCTTACTTGTCATTAGCAGCGTGCAATAATTCTTCTATATCCATGTTTGCCCAGTACAGAATATTTCGCAGCCATTATTTTTTTCTCTGCCTATTCCCTTTTCCCATTTACTCGACCCTGCATCATGACCTGCAACATATTGTATTTTTGCTTCTGCAGTAAGTGTCCAAGGTGTGCGATCTTGCGTACTTTTATTGTTATTTTTTTTGTCTCGACCTATCCTTCTCAGCACTTCCTCGTTCCTCGATTCTGGCCGTCTATGGAATTCTGAGTATTCTCTGATACATCCAAAGTTCAAAGACTTTGGTCTTTTTAACTACATATTTGCTTAGTTTCTATGCCGTATAGTAATTGGGAGAGAGAAACCTATCGTATGATGGTCGTCAACCTTCGGTAGAAGACGGCACTTAAGGAAGAAGAAGATAGTAATTGGGACCAGACTCAACATTCAACAAACCACAATCTCAGTGCAATATTCAGATTCCCATCATTTAATAATAGCCTGAATTATAAGAAAGCTGCCCTGCAAAATTCATAAAAGCTGTACAAGGGCTTGGTCGAATTGGAAGCAAATGCCACAATGCTCAAAATTGACTAGCTTCAATATCTAGTTGTGAAAATATAGGAAAATGTCTTGTTTAGTGAATTAATCGTTTGGTTAGTCAAAATGGCCGTTATTACAATATCTCTCTTATAGTTAAATTTGATACAGTGATTGGTATGGCCAAATTGAAAATATTTTTGGAAACCAAGAACTCGTAATAATGTTGGATAGTGTGCAACTCAAGCACTTGCTAGTACGCTTATGCATGTCGATTGACCATGGCTCTTATAAAGTATGCAATGGTATGCTAGAGTGTAATCGATTACCAATTTAGTAAATAAATTTCAGTTTATGGTCAGTGCACTAATTTTTGATTAGTATAAATTAATCACTAGGTACAATAGGAATCTACAGGGGTATTACTTTTATCTATAACTATTACTGATAGATATTTACGTTACGCGCCAGCTAAGAAAAACTAGTAGATTCAGAATTACAATTCTTCATGTTTTGGTCTTAGATCTTATCAATATGTATTCCTTTCACATACTGCCTAAGTGTCTCTCACTAGGTCTTATGTTTGGACAGTGAATATACTTCCTAGATTTCCTTCTAATATTTCCATTCCTAATTTTATCCTATATTGTCTTTCCATATATCCATTTAATCATTTTCATTTCCACCACATACCTTTTGTTGGTCTGATGACAATCTTTAGTTTCATTTTTCTGCCGCACAACACACCCTTCACACGTAGAAAAGGATACGTGGATTGACTACCTAAAAAAGCTTTATGCAGAGGAAGAACAAACGACACTAGAACCGGAAACACCAGAGATTACCACAAGTGAAGAACTTAATAAAAATGTACAAGAAGTTCGGAAAATACTTGAAAACTTGAAGAACAGAAAAGCAGCAGGTAAAGACAGGATACCAAACGAGTTACTGAAATATTGTGGAGCAGCAATGACAGCAACAATTAACAACATTAATTAATAGAATTACAAAAAAAAAGGACAGAAAAACAGCCAGAAAACTACAGAGGTATAAACTTGTTAAATATTACGCTAAAACTTACAACTAAAATTTTATAAGTGCTAATAAATTAGAGGATAAGTTTAGCAGATAAACAACAGGGTTTTCGTAGTGGAAGATCGTGTACAGATGCAATATTCATTATAAAGCAAATTACTGAGAAATCACTAGAGTATAATAGACCAGCATTTCTGAGTCTAATTGGCCTAAAGAAAGCGTTTAACAGAGTAAGACTCAAAGATGTAATCTTCTGTATAACAGAGAAGCTCCCCTAAATATTATAAAAACTATCGAAAACATTTACCAAAACAACAAAATGGAAGTCAGAATAGATGGACAACTTACAGAACCTATAGAAATAGACATCGAAATAAGACAAGGGCATTCATTGAGCCCCATGCGCTTCAAAAGTTGCAGTGACAACCTTCCATAGAGGTATTAATCTGCCAATGAACAAGCAGAATTGATTATAAAGAGGAAGAAGAAGAACACACCCCTTATTAGTTTCATTTACATTTCATTCAACGCGGTTTAATTCTACTGCATGTTGTCCATCTACAATTGATTGTGAATACTGTTACTTTTTACAATCAGTTCGCCATCGACAGTTACCATTTAATTTGTAGCAGTAACTCCATCTTTACTTTCCATCATTTATATACTACTTTCAAACCTTTTTCTCTAAAAGCTTGTCTACACTGTTCAAGTTTTTGCTCCAAATCCCCTTTAGTATTTTCCTCCTAACAATAAATCATCAGCATATATTAAGCACTGGCGAACCACTGCTTTTGTAGTTTCAGATCCTTGATGAACTGAGCACTGATGCAATCCTACTTTTACATGAAATTTATCAGTCCCTCACACTTGTTCTAACACTTGTTACTCCCTTATGCATATATTCACAATCTGTACTCATCTGAGACTTCTTTCTTATTGAGTACTTACCATATAACCTTTCATAAACTTTATCATAAACTTTCTCAAGATCCGTTAATACCATTATGAGCGTTTTTTTTCTATTTTCTAATCAACTATTTTCTATCAACTACCATAAAGAAAATTGCATCCGTTGTTGATCTGCCTTACATAATTCGAAACTGATCGCTCGGTTTCTTCACGTATCCGTCTATTAATTACTCTCTATCTTTCATATGTTCATGATGTGACTGTAGTATACCCCTGTAGTTTATGCATTGTCGAAACTCTCATTTGTGTTTGTAAACGTGAACACTGTTTACTGTTGTATACTGCTCCTTAATTCGTCCAGCATTTGCTCCACTTCCATAATTCAATGAAACAAACCTGATATTCATTTAGTTCTCTCTTAAAGCTATCCATAGTTCGTCAGATATATCATCTTGTCCCACTGATTTATCCTTCTTTATTTTTTGAAGAGTTATTATTTTTACTATCTCTGTTAATTCAAATGTCAAATTCCACCAAACTTTCTGTCAAATCCTACGCTCTGTTTACGAGGTTGTCTTTTTAGTTTTATATATAGCCGCTTAGAGAGCGCCACCAATGAAACCTTCCGACAAAAATGTAACCTTAATCTTTTGTTGACGTAAATCGACAGTTTCATTGCGATACAACATCGTGTAGATACAGTGAATTTTTGAAATTAGCAAGTCGGTCGAAAAGATCTTAGCAGAGAACATTTTCGAGCAATAATTTTTTACAATTTTTGGAAAGGATTATACCAACAGCAATGTCTCGCTGAAATGGTTTCTTTTGTTTGGGAATAAATCATCACATCAGTCAACTGTCAACTATTTCTCGCTGGTATTGCGAATTTCAAACGTGGTCACTTCAGTTTCAGCAACGAATGTGCCAGGTCAGGCCCATCTAGACAGCAGTTACCCAGCAAAACAGTGATGCTTTGGGCATTTCAAAGACCTTGATCCAAAAGATCCTACATGAAGAACTGGGTGTTACGAAATTGGTTTCCCGTTGGATCCCTTATTTTCCCACAGAAGAGCAAAAAGCGGTTCGTGCCAGTTGGTGTCGAAAACATTAGAACGGTTCAACAAAGGAAGCTCAAAAAACGTTTATAGTATGTTAGTAGCGATGTACCTAGGATTTACTCACACGAATCGGAAAATAAACACCAATCCACTCTGTGAGTGTTTCACGATAAGGAAAAACCAACAAAAGTGATCCATTCTTCAAAATCTGGTCATGTGGCAACAATTGCTTTGGAAGATCGAAGAACGGTTACATCTGATTGGTATATAACCGTTTGTTTACCAGAGGTTATCGCGAATCTCAGACAAAGCCACACACAACGGCGAATCATTCTACATCATGACAATGCAAGTGTTCACACGGCCCAAAAGACAATACAGTTTTTGGAGCTTCAAAACATCGAATTGTTAAACATCCATCGTATATTCCCGACCTAAGTACCAACAACTTCTTTAAGTTACAAAAGATCAAGAATTAATTGCGTGGGCAGCGATTTCAATCGTCAGAAGAACTCATCGATGCCTTTAAAACAGCGTTTTTGCAGGTGTCAACTGAAGACTGGAATAACTGTTTTCCAATTGCTTTGAACGTATGCAAAAGTGTATCTATCTTGGTAGGACATATTTTGAAAAGCAATAAAAGACAACCTTTGTAATAAGCTGTCGAAAGCATTTTTACATCGTTTTTTGACATCCTTTTGTTATTATTTCTTACCCCCAAAAATATTTTTTTCTTATTTTTAATCTTACCCTTACCACCGCCTTACTTATTACTGACATTATGGTTTCAGATAACTTACTCTTTTTTCCTGTCGAAATTTGACATTTTCATTGACATTATAGAATATTTTCCTTTTTTTTTTTAACCAACATTGCTGCTGTATAATTATCATTGATTTATGGAAATTTACGGAAATAAAATTTTTGATTGTTAATTTTTAATATGAATAAACAAAACTTTAGGGTTTTCTCATGTAGAAAGGTCCTTATTAGCCGATGTTTAATTTAGCACAGGCACAATTCAAAAACTTGCCAGCACTGATTAACGTATAGGATATTCTGCATCGTTTTAGCAGCAGTTATAAACATACAGAATTATTAATAAGTATGATAGAGCTCAGATACCAAGAAAGTTATTTATCAGAATTGTAGGCAGATGTAAGCCTTATATTTTAAAATTGTTTACAATAGGAAAAACCTATTGTTACTCTAAGACATGTCACATTTGGCCTTCTAAGAAAGCTTTGTGAACTTTGAAAAAAACAAAAGTTTCAATGTAACTAGCGAAGGAGAAACAAGGGAAAATAATGCCGAAATTGAAGAAGAGTTAAAGAGATAAAAGATTAATGACAAATAATACCTGTCTATCAAATTATAATTTTATATAATTGAAATAGATAAGTGAGGCGGCTTTTAAATTAGGGATTTTTGGTTAAAAAATATGTAGTTTTATCTGACACTGTATTCTAAAATTCTCATTTTGTAACTAGATATGTTAAGCTTATGTAAAACTGTGAAACTTGAAGAATCCTACAATTTTTGTAAGTAACTTATTAAACTTGGTAATTTTCGTAACTAATTTTAAGGGATATATGTCCTGATCTTTATCACGCTAATAAATTACTCTGTACATTAAATAATGGAGTACTGCATTATCTAGTCGGTACGTCACGTTATATTACAATTTTTTGTAACTATATTTTCTAATTATTTATTTGTATGCCTTATTTATATGTATTATTTACTAATATCGGATGCTAATACTTTGTACTATATCCTATTTTTTAAAATTGTTACCAAAGAAAACACAATCTTATCGTAAATTAGATAAAAAATTCTAAAGTAATAACCTAAGTTCATGCATTATATGCCGTAGTGTTCTAAGTGTACATAATAGAAAATATTTTTATAGTTGCTTATAATTGTGACAGATTTTTAAATAATTGTTAAAAATGTAATAGAAATAAACAAATTATTCCTTGTGTTACACAATTAGTTGCCTACCTTACCCATTAAAAAAATAACATTCTCCTGTTATCCTGTTATAAGTATATAAACATGATATCAACTGTAGGAAGTCAAAGAAATACCATGTAAGATTTAACATGGTATTTAATGTTACTATTATATTTTTACACACAGATAATACCAAAAGAAGTTCAGCCAAAGTCTCAAGCCACAAGCAAAGCATAATAAGGCTCATCATCATCATCATCTTTGGCTCGACAATCCTCTGTGGATCTTGGCCTGCTCTAAGATTCGTCGCCATTCTGTTCGGTTTTTGGCAACATGTTGCCATCTTCTGATTTTTAATATTCGTAAGTCGGTTTCTACTCCATCTAACCACCTAATTCGCGGTCGGCCTTTACTTCTTTTTCCTACAGGTGTTCCTGTGTTAGCTTTTTAGCAATTGTATTTTCTGGCATTCGTATTATGTGTCCAGCCCATCTAAGTCGCTGTGTTTTAATGAACGTTATGACACCTGGCTCATCGAAGAGCTGATACAATTCAAAATTATATCTTCTGCGCCACTGCCCTTGGTCGTTTACAGCTCCAAATATTTTGCGGAGTATTTTACGCTCAAATATTCCCAAAAGTCTTTCATCTTTCTGCGTTAGTGTCCATGTTTCTGCTCCATATGTGAGGACCGGCCTCAGCAATGTTTTGTATATAATAATTTTAGTTCTTCTTTGAATGTTTCTTGAGTGGAAATGCTTTTGGAGTCCATAGTATGCCCTATTTGTAAGATTTATTCGTCTTTTGATTTCTTCGCTTGTTTTATTGGTAGCAGTCAATAGCGACCCAAGGTATGTGAAGTTGTCAACACGTCCAAAGGTATGACTTCCAAAGACTGTTTCTCGTTCCATCGTCATTTGCTATCGGATCCTTTGTAACCAACATGTACTTGGTTTTGTCTTCGTTGATGACTAGACCGACCTGTTTCGCCGCTGTTTCCAATTCTAGGAGATATTGCTCAACATCTCGCTTGCTACGCCCTACTATGTCAATGTCATCAGCATATGCTAAGACTTGTATCGATCTATTGTAAATAGTACCGCCATCCCTAATTCGTGTATCTCGGACTGCCTTTTCTAAGGCAATATTAAATAGGAGGCAAGCCAGAGCATCTCCTTGTCTGAGTCCATGCTTTATCTCAAAGGATCTAGAACTCTCTCCCTGTATTCTAACAGTGGCTTCTAAGTTAGACATTGTCATTCTCGTTAGTCGGATAAGTTTCTCTGGTATACCAAACTCATGCATTGATTGGTATAGCACTGTTCTCTTGACACTGTCGTATGCGGCCTTAAAGTCGACGAATAGGTGATGGGTTTCAATATTGAATTCTAATGTTTTCTCGAGAATATGTCTTATTGAATGAATCTGGTCAATTGTTGATTTTTCTGGAGTGAATTCAACTTGATATTTACCAACTATGCCCACTGTGTAAACTTGCAACCTTTCGTAGAGAATATTTGCTAGTATTTTGTAAGCAGTTGTTAACAGGGTTATACCTCTATAGTTGTCACACTGGAGCTGGTCACCTTTTTTATGTAACGGGCATATCACGCCTTGAGACCATTCACAAGGCATGGTCTCATTATGCCAAACAAGAAGTAAAAGCTTATGCAGTGTCTGTAGTAGGGCATCGCCACCATTCTTGTAGAGCTCACTGCAAATTTGATCAACTCCTGGTGATTTATTATTTTTAAGCTTTTTAATGCTTGGGCAACGTTTTCGATGGTAGGTGGTCTTTCGTTTGGGTTGAAAGGATTCCAATCATTGAAAGGATTCCAATCATTTCGATTTGCTAGGGTGTTGTCTGCTTCTTCGATATGATGGCCATTAAATTTTGCATCGAAAAATTCAACCCATCTGTTTAGGATTGAGGCCGTATCATTTAGGATGTTTCCTTCTACATCCTTACAGCTCCTTATTCTTGGCTTAAACTCTTTGCGCATTTTGTTTAGATTTCTGTAGAACTTTCGAGTTTCATTTTGATTTCTTAGCCATTCTGTGCTTTCCAATTGCTTTTGCTCAAATTGCCTTTTTTTTTCTTCTATGTAATCGTTTTTCTTCTCTTCTTAGTGTCCGGTATTCTTCCTTTGCTCTTCTTGTGCATCCAGCTTGATTTGTCGTTAGGTATGCCCTGTTTTTGTTATCTGTTGCTTCTTGGCACTCCTTGTCAAACCATTCGTTTTCTTTAACTGGTTTGGTTTTCCCCAATATTTTTGTTGCTTTCTCAGTTATTATGTTTTTACATTTTGTCCACAGTTCCTCTACATTTCCCCCATCTCCAGGCTCTCCATTTCCTCGTCCATTTGTCTCCTATACTCTCTCGCAACGGTTTCAATGCGCAATAATAAGGCTCATAATGGAGATTTTTTGAACGAGGGTGTCCACATACTGAAAAGGTGGCAGGCACACTTTAGTACGCTTCCTGTGGTTCCTTTTATCGGAGGTTGGTTATCATCACAACTATCCGTACTTTGTTAGCAGCGGCTCTTGTACATTCTCACACAGAGCTGCACAAATACATGATGTATATCAGTCTTCAGTTTTGCGTGCATTACATAAGAATACATTTAAACCCTATAAAATACAGTTGTTGCAAGAATCAAAAGAAGATGACTACGACTGTAGATTACAGTTTGGTGAGATAATGATGTTGATGAGTTTGGTAAGAAACGTGGATATTGAAGGCGGAAACTCTATCAAAAGTTCAGGCTTTTGAGCTATGGTCATACAGAAGGATCTTGAAGATACCACGGACAGACAAAGTCACCAATGAAGAAGTACTGCGGAGGATGAACACAACTACGGATTTGATCAACATCGTGAAAGGCCGTAAGCTGCAGTACTTGGGTCATATAATGAGAAATCAAGGCAGATGCGAGGTACTTCAATGCATTTTACAAGGTAAAATTGAAGGAAAAAGGGCCCCAGGACGAAGAAGACTATCCTGGCTTGCTAATCTGAGAGCATGGTATAGAAAGACCTCAACACGGCTATTTCGTATAGCAACCAACAAAGTCATTATAGCCAGAATGATCGCCAACGTTCAGAACGGACAGGCACCCTAAGAAGAAGAGATAATGATGAATGAAATTGTAACTGACGAGAACTTCCTTAAAAAGATATGTTTTTTTTTCCACTCAAAGATCACAAAAACTAAATTTATGATCGGTATAGTGGGTACTCAGTTAACTGGTCCGTTTTTTTATAGAAGGAAATTGAACAAGCGATACTTATAAAATCCTACTTAGAAACGACATTGTATCTGCCATGAAAAACAAGTTTGAAGTCAATTTCAATGAGATATGGTTTCAGAAAGATGGAGCTCCAGCTCATTTTGGTGTAAGTGCTCGGTGCTATTTAGATCAGACATTTCCCGGATTAGTATTGATCGGCCTCCTCGTTCACCCGATTTCAATCTTAAAGATTATTTTTTTTGGAGATACTTGAAAAGTAGAATTTATAAAACTGAGCAAGTAAGTGTTGCTGTGCTAAACCAAATAATTATCGATGAATCCATATTAATTTATAGAGAAACGTGGAGAAATGTAATAGCTGCATTCTACCACCTTTTAGGATAGCGTAAAATTCCCCGTTTGAAGGCGGGCCACTCAGGTAGAATACCTTCACGGCTAAAAAGCGACTAAATGGAGCAGCTGTCCGCTGTCCACTACCCAAATTCCTAACCTGTCCCTGTGTCATAACAAAAAGTCCCAACTATCATACGACCCCCACCCCTACCCATCATACACATCCTGATACCCAAACCTATACCCGAGGAGAAAACCTCCACCTTCTAGGATCGAGGTATGTTTCGAATATTTGGATCACCCCTCGCATAAAAGAAGAAGAAAAAACCGTAAAACGGGGTCAATAGAAATGGGCCACGAAAAATATGCAAAATGTGTGTCACGGCTAATAGGTTTAAGAGCCCAGTGAGCACATTTGAAAAAGTTTTACAATTAAAAAAAAATAGTACATAGTGTCTTTCTATTTACCCTCCAAACGGGGTTAAAGAAAACAATGCTTTGTTTTGCTTTAGTTTGGCTTATATGCCATTTAGGAGGTCAATAGAGACATTTAAAAATATATTAGTAATATGTGCATTTAATTTTTTTGGTAAAAAAAATATAAACATGTCAATTTATATCGTTTATTAAGAATGAAAATATAGAAAATATACAACTTTCTTACTTTAGGGAACACAAAAGACCCTGTTACGTTGCATTAATTCTCACAGCATAACTTTGTATTGTTATAACTATAGGAACAAAAAGTTACATGTTTGGAAACAAAAAAAAAAAAAAAAATTAAGATCATTTTGGTTGAAATTTAAGAATCTCCTTATTTGAACTGCTTGGGAGCTCGGAGATATCAGATTGACGAATTTGGCCAACAACTTGGTCAGAACAGCAACAACACTTTCAGCATGTATAACATGCATAATTTATCATACATGTCCTCCATTTTCAAAAAAGGTGACAAAAGGTCACCAAATAACTACAGAGGGATCAGTGTAATGCCTTCAATAGCAAAGAATCTTTTCATCAGTTATAAAAGAAAAACTAGAACAACACATGGACCATTATAGCGAAGAACAAGCTGGATTCCGAAATGCCAGATCATGTTTAGATAATATATTCATTATGAGACAGGTGATTGAAAAAAACAAAGAAAAAACATTGAAACACATATGACCTTTATCGACTTAGAGAAAGCATACGATAGTGTGCCCAGGAAACAACTATGGGAAGCAATGAGAAGAATGCGCGTTAGAGAGAAATGAGAGAAAAACACAAAGACTGTATAAAGAAACACAAGTGCAACAAAGTTAAGAGTAATATATATATATATATATATATATATATAATATATATATATATATATATATAGATCAGGCTTTGAAAAGATGGTATAGAAAAGGCAGAACAATGGGCATACCAGTACAAGACAATATATTACATTCACTACTT